TATATATATATATATATATATATATATATATATATACATATACATATACATATACATATGTATAAAAGTAGACATCTTTTCATAATAATCGCACAGTTTTAGTAGTTGTAGTCTGTGAATGTATGTTGGACTTTTTTTTTAAAATAATATGACTTGTTCCAGAACTTGCAAGCGCATATTGTTGCAATATGTACAATTCTTTATTGCTTCTAATACCATATAATTTCGAATTATAATTTCAGGCTAAGAATTTGCTCATCCTGTATGATGCAGTAGGTACACTGGCAGATAGTGTTGGTCCGAATTTGAATGAACCACAGTATGTCGAGGTTTGTTTTATGAATAGTTGATTGTGGCATTTGTCTTTCTGAATAAAAATTTATTGTCAGTATTTTATGGTGTAAATAATCATATTTATTCAGACAATTATGGGGCCGTTGATGGCAAAATGGGCTGCTCTTGGTGACGATGACAAAGAGCTGTTTCCATTGTTAGAATGCTTATCTTCTGTTGCTACTGCTCTTCATGAAGCATTCCTGCCGTATTGCGAACCTGTTTTTCAAAGGTTTCTTCACCTATTGATTTTATATCGTATATTTTCAAATAGAGAAGCTCAAATTTTTACAGAATTTGTTGTACATGATTCTCATGATAAACGTAAATATTTTAAGTACTTGATTTCTTTTTTGATCAGCTTATGTTGTTACTTCCCTTACTCAGCTTAGTATATATATCATTTTTTTAAAGGTGTACAGCACTGATTGGGCGCTGCCTGCAACAGTCACAGCTTGCCATGGAGCGACCATCAGAATATGACATGCCAGACAAAGATTTCCTTATTGTTGCATTGGATCTTCTCTCCGGACTTGCAGAAGGGCTTGCCGAACACATTGATTCTCTTGTTGGACCGAGCCAAATTATTGCCCTCGTTTATCAATGCTCTATGGTACTCCATTGCCCATTTTTACGAATCTTTTGAGCTGAAACTTCTGATTCGGAAACTTTCAAGCCCGTCTTTCTTATTTGCAGAGAACTTCAATCATTATTTCAGGATTCAAGTGCCGAAGTGCGACAGAGTTCATTTGCTTTGCTTGGTGATTTATCCAAAGCTTGCTATCATTATCTGCAACCTCATATAAGTGGGCTTTTATTTTGTTTGAGAGAAATACATTTAATACAGTGAAGACGAATTATGTGGGATGAATTTAAGCTTAGAAGCTAAGTCAGGATATATTGCTCAAAGATTACTTTAAATTACCAATATAAAAGTTTCTCTTAAATTTTTCTTTTCAAAAATTTTTCTCAATCGTTGCTTTCATTGCACCTTTTTAAAGTGCAGTAACGTTCCAGATATCTTTCTTCCTATTTTGACGCAGAATTTGGATCCTGATTCGATATCCGTTTGTAATAATTCGATATGGGCAATCGGTGAAATAGCTATGAAGATGGGTGATGGTATGCGTCCTCATGTGCTTGGATTGTTACCTGCTTTGATCATCGTAATGAATAGAGAGAAGGGACCGAAAACACTGCTAGAAAATACGGGTGAGAGGTTTTTGTTATTCAGTTTTGGGAGTTCTTCATTGTTTTGAATGTAGTATCAGAAATTTTCCTCCTTATTCCTTATTTCTGCGTGATTTTACTTTAGTTTTAAAATTCCCCGTACAAGTTTCGAAAGAAATGATATGAAAATATAAAAACATTTTTATTTATATGCCTTCCAGCAATAACTCTTGGTCGTTTGGGCATTAGTTGCGCCAGTGAAGTGGCACCGTTCTTACCACAATTCATTCGTCCGTGGTGTTTAGCGCTGCGGAATATACGCGATAATGAAGAAAAAGAGAGCGCCTTTAGGGGCTTGTGTAACATGATTAATCTCAATCCTGCTGGAGTACTTGCGGTATTCTTTTCATCTATTATTACATATTTTACTGGCTGTCTGACCAGCATCATTTTATTACTATTTATAGTATTCGCTCGATATATTTGCTCATCAACATAAATCATTTAACGTTACATTTCAAGGTTATGCAAAAACATAGATTTCATTTATAGATACTGAAGTTTCATCTTCAGATTCATCATATTTGCTACTTGTTTCAGGAGTTCATATTTTTATGCGATGCTATTGCATCTTGGAATAATCCGCAACCTGAATTGAAAATGATGTTTTCAAGGGTAGGATCGTTAACATTATCTCAGATGTAGTTTCTAAAAGATTTTACAGTATTATCCTACTTTTTCCATTTTGCAGTATATTTTTCTCGGTGAAACTATGGCTCCTTCCTCTTAAAATCGTAATCAATACTTGATTAGTGCTATCGGAATATATTTTTGCATGATCAGTTCGAATTTCCCTAGTAAATAATTTATATGCAGCGTATTAATAAAACTAAGGAAATTCCTATATTCTAACCAACACAGTCATTTATCAACTTTATGATTTTCCAGATTCTACACGGTTTTCGACAACAAGTTGGTGATTTAAACTGGACAGCATTTACGTCACAATTCCCTGCTCCACTGAAGCAGCGATTAGCAAATCAATACGACGTTTAGTAAAATTATGGTAAATGTCAGTTCGGTTGGTGATTTGTGGTACTCTTATGATAATCTGCACCAATCGTCATTGTTGTATTATGGCTTTAGGTCGGTTCCGCTACTTGCTGTTAATTATCTGACTTTTTTCACTCTCTAAGATTAAAATATTTTTTAAAAAGAATTTTTTTTAGAAAAAAATAAGAAAAAAATAAGAAAAAAATAAATATAAAAATAAGTTTATTTTTATATTTGAATGAAAATTTGAATATTTTGTTTTTTATCTTATCGTGATGTAAATCTATAAATCAGATAACAGTAAGCGATGTCGCGGAATAGACCGATAATTGCACACTTTTTTGGAGATCGTTTGTTCTTTAAGTTCAGTCTGTCGACAATGTTTTCTCCTCAACAGCTATATCTCCCTCTCTGGTTTCTCACCACCGTGTGTAAGTTGTCTTTGTTTTTAACGTTCGGTGTTCTTTTCTCTTGTTTATTTTTGCTTTGCTTTGATAGGTCATTTTTTTCATCGTTTTTTTATTTCCTATTATAATTTATTTCAGTTCATATTTCTTTTTCTTTTTTACAGATGCTTTTATTGTTTCGTTTTCTCTTTTGATATTTTCAATTTGTTTACGAACAAATGCTTTCTGTTTGGTACTCTTATGTATAATGTTGAAACAAGTGAGATTTAAAAATGATCAGATTGAGTGCATTTTAAAAACATTAGAATTTTCCAAGAACAATATATCTGGGATGTTTATTTTTTCTTCTCGATATCCTTTCGTGGTAAATAGTGCCAGGGAACACTGAAGTTACAACGTAGCAAAATGTGGATTATAAATATTTGCTCTGGATAGGGATAACTTCGAATTTACCCTGTTAATTGTGTTTTTATTTGAAGTTAATTTATGTTTGAAGTTATATTACTTATTAATTTGACGTTATACATATCTTCCTGGGCCCAGTAATTAGTTGTCTTCCGTAAACTTTTCTGGTAGATTGTCTGGGAGGATCCTACATGAATATGGGTTCACTGTTTCATATTTTTCCTGCATAATATATATATATATATATAT